AAATCAAGAAATGCGTTCGTACAACCATTGTTTAACGGTACTTATTTATGTATCAATGTCGATCTAGGTACGTTAACTGTATCAACATAAAATAAATGTTATAATATTCCATTTTTGAAGAAAAAAAAGAAATGTTTTCTTGCTTGTTTGGTTTTTAAGATAGACTACATAAACGACTATTTCGTGAGGCAGCATTAAATTCAGCTGTCAAATTCGCTGGCGCTGATAACGATGAGAAGTACAATAATAATGATTTGATTCAATTGAACGATTTACCAAACGACGACGACGACGAGAAGAATAGTAAAATAAAAAAGATGAAATAAGTTTGTTGTCTTTTTTTGTTTGTAACTGTGTTGGTTTTAGATTCACTTTTGGTTTTACAATATAAAAATACACTTTTACATACTTCATTAGAAGTTGTTTTTCAACTTTTTTTAATGTGTTCACGTAATGTTTGTTGTAAATATTTTAGTGGTTTCTTTTATTAAAGAAACGTTAACTTTATCTTATTCTATGGAATTTTTGATGGAAATTGAAAAGATATATAATATGTGTAAATGGTGTTTCTTCAATTTCTTTTATTAACTTAAAGTTAAAATGAACTATTATAGTTCTAGGTATTGGATTTTTTCAAACATATTGACATATGTCAATCTTATAAAACAACTAGTCTGACTTGCTATAAGCGTTCTTAACATTATCTAAAGTGGCTATGAAAGCTGATTAATACAATACTATGAGCGTCATTATTCATTTCTGTTATTAATTCTGTCATAAAATAATGAAAAACTCTTAGTGTCAGGATCTTATCAATAATTTCAGATCAGAATTTGGCGCTCTTTTTCTCCGAGGGTTGCCAACGCGAATTCTGCGGAATCTTGTAGCCCATGGTCGGTTTAGTGGTACACCATATTTTATCTCAATCAACTCCTTCGATTTTTGTAGAAAAAAGATTTTGAAAAAGCCAAAAGGATCCGTGTCGAATTCGGACTGACTAGGAGAAAATTCACTTTCTTTGCACTAAATCACTGTACTGCGGATCTATACTGATTCACTGGAAGTGAACAACACTCTCACGCAGCTTAAACTTTCTCTTACCCAAATATCTAATCGAGGAGCCGAATCACTGGCTGAAGCATTGAAAGTAAGTGAAACGCTTATTCAACTTGATCTTCGATATAACGGGATGTTTGATTTAGGAATCGAATCACTGGTTGAAGCCTTGAAGGTGAACGAAACTGTTATTCAACTTAATCTTGGATATAACCAAATTTCTGATATAAGAGCCGAAGCACTGAAAGTGAACAACAGTCTCACACAACTTAATCTGTCAAATTATATGGACTGATCATAATTATCCCAAGTGACTTTTTTTCGAAAAACACACATTTTCGTAGTTTCTAATTAATTAATTAACGGTCAGACCAAATAGCATGCAATCCATACAGGTAATAGTACTTGAAATTCTCTGCAAGATGATATAATTTTTAATTTAATAAAATACAAATTTTAATTTAGTACTAATTAACGCTAATAAATTTTAAGAAAATTTTTACATAAATCGATAGCCAGAAGTCACCGCTATTTACCTGTAAAATATTGTTTGTCCAGGATAAAAGTTGAGCGAACTATAGCAGAAATACAATGAAATTTTGAGGACCTGACTATAACTACCCCAAGGCACTCTATTGAAAGCTAAAAGTATATGGCAATGATTGGAAATAATTTTCTAATGCATACGTTCAAAAGAAAAATGTAAACTAAAAATCCTTTGATGAAAATATTCATTAACAAAATAGCTCGTAAAAAACGTTTTTATCCGTCGTTTTGTCTTAGTGTATCCTAGTGTGTGCTTCTTCAATATCAGATCAACAATGATTTCGATTATTCTTATAACCATAGTAGTTTATCAATGTAGTCTAACACAGCATGAAAAACTTCTGTTATAATTATTGGAAAGAGTGAATTCTCAATGTCAAATTTCGTATTGAACGAGTCTTGTTAAAGTATTAATTCGGAAAGAAAACGTTAATACTGTGAAGGTTCTAGATATCGAGACTTTTAATCACGTGATATTGAGAAAAAACGATTCAACAGTAAGTGTCTGTTCTTGTTGTTGTTGATTTGAACGATAAGTAGTTTGTGTATTAAATGATGGTGACGGATTTGTTCGATCTCTTTCGAATGAATTCGATTGTTGAACGCTTGGTGTTATTGCATGATTACGTGATTGTTGTATTGTAGCTGTTGTACCATATTCATCAAGTTGTGTGTTAGATAATCGAACTTGAATGTTCTCGTGTCAACAGTAAGTGTCCGATTTTTCTTTAGAAAAGATCATCCGCAAAAATATTCATTATATGATCAAAATGCGACAAAAATCGCTACTTCTTCATCTCATTATATAACGAACTGTATAGACTTTCGGAAAAACTCTTCCAGATAAAGATAAACGTTATTTCTCCTAGCTAGAAAGACATTTTCAGTAATACGAAGTATGCATACTACAATAAGACTTTTGAATTGAAATTATTAGCCTGAATAGAATTGTTCAATATTAAATTCAAAATAAAGAATTTACATTTCAAATTAAAAAGAAACCCACGTTTCTAAGTTATCTAAGTAGATTGAAAAGCCGTCGTAGAAAAAGTGCGAATTTAATAAAAATTTTTATATGATCCATAGTTAAAGTTTGAATATCTTAGTTTCAAAAGTTCTCATGTAGAAAACAATATAAAAATCGTAGTGCGTTACACTTTATTCATTTCTTTTTGACCATTTCGTATGGATTTCAAGCACTGCTATGCTAATATGGTAACAAGCTTTAAATGTGACTGTGGTTCAAATAAAGGCCACTGAATCTTGTAAATAAATCTTTATGATCAACACTTTCAAGATCAAGTTGAGTAAGAGTTCTGTTCACTTTCGCTGCTTCACCCCTTCGGCTCCTCGATTAGATATTTCGTTATTTCGAAGCTCAAGTTGAGTAAGAGTTTTGTTCACTTTCAATGCTTCAGCCAGTGCTTCGCTTCCTATATCAGATATTTCGTTACTTCGAAGAATAAGTTGAATAAGAGTTTCGTTCACTTTCAGCGCTTCAACCAATGCTTCGCATTCTGTATCAGATATTCGGTTATGTCCAAGATTAAGTTGAATCAGTGCTTTGTTCACTTTCAGTGCTTCAGCCAGTGATTGCCCTCGTATTTCAGATATTTCGTTACTTTGAAGAATAAGTTGAGTAAGAGCTTCGTTCACTTTCAATGCTTCAGCCAGTGCTTCGCTTCCTATATCAGATATTTCGTTACTTCGAAGAATAAGTTGAATAAGAGTTTCGTTCACTTTCAGCGCTTCAACCAATGCTTCGCATTCTGTATCAGATATTCGGTTATGTCCAAGATTAAGTTGAATCAGCGCTTTGTTCACTTTCAGTGCTTCAGCCTGTGATTGCCCTCGTATTTCAGATATTTCGTTACTTTGAAGAATAAGTTGAGTAAGAGCTTCGTTCACTTTCAAGGCTTCAGCCAGTGATTCGGCTTCTCGATCAGATATTTGGTTAAGAGAAAGTTTAAGTTGCGTGAGAGTTTTTTCAGCAACTACTATTACTCTCCAAGACGAAATTGTATCAGTCTGCGGACATCTCATTTTATTCAGAACACACTGCTCAACATAGCTCCATGTCTGTTGAAACAGACAACCTTAAAAAGTTGAATTGAAATTTCAAATTTGGAAAAGATGGTTTGTTAGGGCTTTCAGAAATATTTTTCAAAAACCTTTAAAAACAATAAATTTTTGACAAATTGAGATGGATTCTGAAAGATGACAGTTTGAGATACTCGACCATGTGCTTACTTCAGTTTCGAAGATTTCGAAGAAAAATCGAATTCCTGAGGGGCTCCTTAATGTAAGGAGCGAAGTTAGAATTTTTTCCATCCAACAAGCATTGAAGCTGGTATACTCTTTATATAAAGACAATAAGAAACTTTGTGTCTCAAATAATGAAAACCAACGCGTGCAATTGATTGAAATTTTTCTGTTAACATTATATTGTTTTCTACAAAATCAACTATCTTCCATTCGATTGGCATTAGAGACCTGCACGGGTTAAGAAAATGTAACCCGAACCCGACCCGATAAATTTTTACTCCTTTGTTTTGTTTTTTAGTTTATGTCTTTTTATTTACCTATCTATTTAGCACAGGGCTCCAAAAATCAGGAATTCGATTTTTCTTCGAATGGAAGAT